TTGATGACGTAGTGAAACTTCATCAGTTGAGATGGCTGGGACATGTGTTACGTATGCATAACAACCGACTGCTCCGACGAGCGATGTTTTGTTGTATAGGAGTAGATTGGAAGAAAGCTAGGGTCGGCCAGACCAAAACATGGCACAAATCCATGAAGTCACTGACAAGTAGACTGAGTCATATTGGTAGGTGTAGACTACCTGGTTGGGGACCGCGAGATGATAGCAACCGATGGTTAGAGACCCTGAATGACATGGCTCAAAATCGTTTGCAATGGCGCAGGTGCATCCACTTTCTGTGTTCTCCCAAATTCTAATCTTCTGAATTCTTCATGTCCCTTTCTTTTTTCTCTTTCCAAATTTATTTCACTGTATTATACTCCTTGAATAACATCTTCAAACCCTAATTTTTCTGATTACAGTTTATAATTTTACTACATCTAGCACTACGGGATTTGAATCGACCACTGCATCTCTGTGCTAATGTGGTGTGTCAACTCGAACTGATGTACGTACGTACGAAGTTCTACGTTGTTACTGACTGACTGATATGTATAAATTAGTAATTCCTTCAAGGGATGCTATAACTATGAAGATACTTACTGATTTCTGAATTAGTATTCAGAAAACAAGTACTATAATAAAAGAGCAGTTTTTAGGAGCATTGACAGTACATAGCAATGATATTCTTCAAGAAATTCATCTGTCATTACTTGATTAGGATAATTAGGACACCTGACAAAAAATGGGCAAAGCTGTGGTCCATAAATTAATATGACAGTCAACAAGATTATAGACCTCCTTTGACTTGGTCGATTCACGCGTTACACGTCAATTTACAGTTTACATAGGCTAGCTATAGCCGGATTATGTTCAATAGCGGCTACGGGCGACCATACTAAAACGCTCAACCAATCCGTGTAGTCATTTATTCTTGGCTTGATTTGTATAACGGTATGCAGACTTCTAAGACTCAAATATTTTATTATTCGCAATTTGTTTTTTGCTGCCTATGATCATTTATATTAATCCTAACCTCTTGGTGATTGTCTTTTCGCTGTTTTGAAGTGTGATAACTCAGTTGAAAGTGCTCCGTTGCAGTATGTATTGAACGAAAAATTCAGCAAACATCTTAAGTGTAATTTCTGGTCGTCAAATCAGTAAATTTTTTTACGAAGATCAAGACAAATATTAAAGTCATCCCACTGGTTAAATTAATTGTTTATTGCTTTGTTCAGCAATTCCTAAAAGTGCCCTATTTCTCATGATTGCTGATCAATATGAAGGAAAGGTCAATGTAAACATCTCTGAAAGAATAATTTCTTGTTTGATATCTCCATTTTGGTCGTCAGCACTCGTTTACATGTTTAATTTATTCTATAATTCCTTTAGCTTTTAGTTGTTGATGTCAGTAGACGCCTTGGTTCTGGTCCATCCGATTCCGAGGCGATCAAGATGCACCCATTCTTTCGTAATACTGATTGGGATCGTGTTCTGAAAAAGCAGGTTGAACCACCCTTCCGACCCACTTTGACATCTGATACGGATGTTTCTCTTTTCGATCCCAAATTCACTCAAGAAAATCCCGTCGAAAGTCCGGATGAGGGCTTGCCAATATCTGCAATGGTCTCTGATGTTTTTGAAGGATTTACTTATGTCGACCCCCAAATCCATATTGACATGGCTCGTGATCCATGGGTATCTACTTGGCAAACCAGTTCACGCTCGCGTCGAAGGTCTGGGATTTCATCCAGCAGGTAAGAGTTTCAGATTTTTGCATATTAATCACATTTTGGGTGTATGAGATATCTGTATTGCAACTAAGGGTTTTCTAAGTATCCATGTCTGATTTGTTATGATGATATGGTAACTGGGTACATTGATATGTTTTACATATTTTAGTTCTCCAGGCTTCGTTGGACATACAATCATGGCAAATCCAAATACACTTATGCAAGGAACTGATATTCTACATGTTGGAACCCCTCACCCCGAGCAGTTGCAGTCTACGTTGGTTGCACATCTTCCAAATACTGTTCAAACTTCTATCCCGACTCAATCACAGCCGTTTGTTTTTGCTGAAGATTTCGAGGATATGGACGTCGCCAGTACTAATTTAACCTACAGCAACAACCCACTTGATAGCCATTCAACTGTCATAAACACTGTCAATATATCCACCAGTAATTCTGTAAGACCTACGTATGCTTTACCTCTCGGTTCCCATCGCTTAGAAAATAGTCGAGTGATGGAAACTGGTATTTGTGATCCATATTCATCGCGCTCGGGCGAACATGTTAATGGAGTAATTCCTAAACCAATTGACACACGTCTAGTAAGCCCATCAAGTTCTGCTGCCGCACAGGTATCAGCACTTGCTGCAGCAGCGCTTGCTACTTCATCCCGTTTGGTTGGTTCTTCTGTACACATACCTTCAATTGCGTCTCATAACTCTCCCAATCGACCTTTCATGAATGAGCATATGATGTTTGATCCTCAAAATATCAGACTTATGAATTTGGGAAAATCACAACCACAAACTCCATTGGCTGCAGTAGAAAGTTTGCATGTTCAGAGGAAATAGTTTCTGTTCGTTGAAAGAAAAATAATGAAGCTGTTCAATTTTTTATGTGTTTCTCAGGCTTCATAATTTCATTTGTATGAACTAAGTGGATTGGTATGTATTATGAACACCTAGTTTTATTTCATGAGTGTTAGAATTTTGATGCGAATTTTGTCATTTTCCCTTTTCTGATATGCGTATTTTGTATGCAACTGATATATTTTTTGTTGTGTGCTATTTTCATCCCAAACAAGCTCATCTGTGAGTTTCTTCATGTACAATACCTTACACGTACTGTTCACAAGATTCTGTTTTTGATTCCTACCCAGGAATATTATATATATATGAATTGTATTATGACGGTTTTGTTAACAATGTATTTTTTTCCCATTTCAATATCTGATCTTTTCTTGAAGCATCATTTTTAATCAAATCTTGAATAAAAAGTTTTTGGTCACAAACACGTAAATAGTATTCCCGGACGCAATGCTTTACATGGATACACAATTTACGTATACTATCTGATAAATTCATTGTTATTTTGATCGAATGGATGTCTTCATCTATCCAACCATAGTACATTCATATTTTTACTTTCTTATTTATGACACTCGGTGAACTGAGTGATTTCCTAACTATCAGATGTACCAAACTCTTTATTTAGATATTTCTATATACCTTATTTCACTTAGAAACTGTCAAATCGTTGGCTAATTACCATTTGTAACTTGAGCAATGTTTGCATGTTAGTGTACATTTATATGAGTATTTTATGCGTTTTTCCTCCGCGTTGTTTTCATTTTTGCAATTATTTAATTTATCCATTAGTCAAACCAACAAATGATCAGTTATTTGATTTTTACAATCATGTATTTATTCATATGTTGGTGATTATCTTTTTCTCTATCGACTCATTATGCATTCCTACCTCGATAGTTATTTTCTCTTCTATAAGTTTTCTTGCCATGGTAATTATCTTAGTTCTTAAAAGTGTTTTACACATCTGTATGGAAAATGCGATATTTTCGAAGCACCATATGTGCCTCCTTTTTTAATTTTTGTTATCCTGTTAAACGTCGATTCCTTACCGGGCTGATGCTGTGTGGTTTGACTATATCGTTAGCCCACCAGCTTATTCTTTGTCATTGTTTCTGTAATCGAAGGGTATTTGACTTGCTACCTTTAACTTCACAGGGCTTCCTGGTATATTATGAGAATTGATTAATGCTTTACTATTTATATCATTTTTTCTCTAGCTAAAATGCTTCTTCGAGTCTTGCATTACTTATCACTTCGTTGACGCTGTTTTGATATTTTTATTTATGTTGATATGATATTGTTCAGCCCTTTGAGTGTAAAAAATGAACCTTGTTGCCTAAAATGAGTTATTGTGTAAATCGAAAAATGGTATTCTCTCAATCTTTCAGTTTTTAAAATCCCAATTTGCTTTCATATGATATTTCACTCTCTTCCTACAAAGATTTCTTGTAACTCTGCCGTAACTGCCTTTCAACGGTGATTCAAATAAAAATACGTACTTTTTCATAGATATTTTTTTGATTATTTTTCTTTGTTACTGTTATGTGTGACGTAGTTGCATGTACGTTTAGTAATCGAAGTTTACAGGTTGACTCTGTTCTTAGTTAGTAAAATCAAGGTTTAGGTATACTTCTAGCAGCATTTTTACATATCCAGTTAATTATGTAAGCGAGATAGTCTGTAGCAAGCAGATCGGTCGCCTAGTTTTATTCACCAATTTTATCGTTAGTATTTGAATAGGAATGATTTGTCAATTAAAGGAATGGGTAGACTAGATGAATTAATATTTACTACCCCCTGTATTAGTAGCTGGCTGTTGTGTATTTCTCAGGAAGTTTTATTAAAATAGTAATCCGAAAGACTGGCTTTAAGTTATAGGGTAGCTTTATCTGAAAATTTTGACCAAATAAAATGAATATATCTTTCATTTATAAATTTGATTTGTAAAGTAGCTGTTTATGAAGATGTTAGTGTTCGCAAGTGGTATTCGATCCTTTTTCTCACACAAACTAGATCTTTGTATACTGAATGTATTACAATATTCTGCAAGTTTGAGGTGGGTGTTTATATTGTGACGTCTTAACTGTTTTTTTTTAAAAAATTGCAGATGAAGAGGTCATTTTCTGAAGATACAAATCCGGACCATGATTTACTACATGGATCTACTTCACAATTAGATTCGACTCCCCCGATCAGTAAACGTTTAATTTCAGCTGCATCAGAGCCTATATCATTCATCCGAATCTCATCCTTGGAGGAACTTGATAAGAGAGCATTACAGCTTCAAAATAAAAAACTATGGGAAGCGTTGATGGAACGTCGAGCTGCCATTGCTGAATTGAAGGAACGTATTGAACACCTGGAAAATCGCCAAACTAAGGATGATGCTTTACTTTGTGTAGTCAATCGTTACTGGAATCAGGTGATTTTAACAAAAATTTCGCATAGATTATTACTGCTATGTTAAGTCTAGTGATTGTTCGCTGGATATATAAGCTTAATATTACTCCTCAGTACACAGTGTCTTGTATATTACAGACTTGTATTTTCCTTAAGGCATACAGTGTACATTACAACACAAGAAAAAATTCATATTGTAATCTATTAATAATTATTTACTATTCAAAAGCTAGACGTTTCCAAAAGTAATTGAAGACAAATCAGATTTACTAAAATCTGACAGTCGCTTTTGACTGCGCTTCTTGGTTTTCGATTTATTCGTTGCCAACTTTATCACTTTAAACATATGGACCTTGTGTTCATCAACACAGGTAGTATGTCCGATCTTCAGTTTGTTTACTCTATTCTATAACGAAGGTCCCCACTTGTTGTTATAAGTCATTCTTGCTGTCGAGGTTTCGGGTTTCGATAGGACCGATCTGTTTGGATTTTTTAAGTGTAGGAAATCAAACTGTGTTAAGTTGGGATACTCAGTGTATTCCATGGAATTGGATTATCATTTTATGGATGCCAAGATCGTAATGTAGGAGAGTCAACACATTACTAAAAAATCTGAAATTCAAGCAGCTGGTAGTATGATTCATTACTGGTAATTTTCTGTTCGTGCCATGTACGTAAACCAATATCTCATTCTTATATTTCATGAAATTACAGTGACGTTAAGAAGAAGTTTACCAAAAATTGTGTTTTGTTGATGTTTCACTCTGTTCATGTCGAACGTACTGAATAAACAACTTTCATTTGTATTCAAAACAAGTGAACAGAGATTTAGTACATCTTATAGGATTCGAAAATGTCGATATGCATTTCAAATCATTGAACTTAGAATCTGACTGCTGTCTACTAATTTTAATTGCACTAATTATTAACCACTGAAAATGAAGCACAAGTAGGGTCACTAACAAACCACATTAATTCACAACGAGCGGTTACAACTGCGTAAATATGAAGTTCTCCAGTCTATGTACTGTCATTTTGCTAACATCAATTCACATTTCCATAGATGTAAGGTTTGTATGCAAAAACACTGTTGTTTAAAAATAAAATTTATATCTCCAATGAACATTTCATAGTCAATCACTGTTAGACAGTAGCATTATTTTATTTTGTGGGTATATTCGTAGAATGGTTCCATAGCATGTAAAATAAAATCTTGACAGGGCATACCATATAAATGTACTATTAAATCTTTTAAGCATACAATCATTTCTTAACAAACTATTTTTTGGTGTTGTATTAACTAGAGAAATTCGGAAACTTGAAGTTTATTTATTCACTGCTTTTTCACAGTTTATCTTTTCTGTAAACCTACATCACATTCCCATATCATTTAGCTTGCTTACACTCATGTAGAATTCTGTTTATCAGCTGATGGGATGATCCTTCACGTGTGATCTGAACTCAGGAGCTTTGGTCTCGCGCGCGAACCCTTAACCTCTAGATCACTGTGCCGGCATCCAACGGTGTTAGTGCCCAACTTCAACCAATCCTAAAAGCGAAGAAAAGCGCTGGCATTGTGGGATAGGATTCAAACAGAAATCCATTCGTATTTACCTTCTAAACTACCTGAGGGCTAACAAAGTTCAAACATGAACAGTTTGGCACAACTTTGTTATGCTTGTAACGCCAATTTTTTGATGGTCATAAGTTTTTGTCGTTCAGATGGAATTTAATTACTGTTGTTTCTAATTAGTTTCTTTTGAAATTTTAGCTCGATGAAGATAGCTTGATTATACTTCAGCGTTTTGATTCGGATGCTGAGGAAGAAAGTATGCTTCTGTTTTAAAAGCTTATTTTTTATCTTTCAATGTAACTTAATCGATTTTTGAATCAATTTTTAATTGGTTATGGGTGTGTTTATTTGTGTTCTAGGTGGGATGATTAACTGAGTTATGTAAATTGTTTGAATTTTCATAGTCAGCGCTGGACACAAGTATTTTTCGTGTAAAATAATTGCGTATTATTTTTAGTATGCAAAATAAAAATCCATAATGGTCACGAAATTCGGTAAATAAAGCGTTCACTTATGTGTTGATAACTCAACAGGGATAAATAAAACTCTTGGAACTTATCATTATTTCATTCCTGCCATTAGTTTTTCGTCCTCTGGTTGATTACGGTAGATACGGTATACGGCTTTGCCACTCGAACATGTAGAATTCGGTATCAAGTCGAGAAGGCGAAAAAGGCCGGGGAAGCGTTCATTGGGTAAGTGTATGAAATGCACAGAAACACAGGTGTGTTTATAGTTTTTGGTATAGGCTATAAAATCATTACAATCCAGCCAATCCCCATGTAGGGAGTTTATATAGTTCTCCAATCGTAGCATGCTGTGTTGATATCCTGGAAAGTTCTACCAGGTTCTGATTGGACAGAGTCCGACTTCTTTAGAGCCTCTAAAGGCTTTGTTGCGCTTTCTGGGAGCTGTTACAACGTTCTGACCATCTGTAGCTTCTATTCAATATAGTCCAACGCCACGCGGAACGTCTGTATCTGTTATGAAATTTACCTTCGAACAACTACTGTTATTGATATTCAAGTTGTTTCTTTCAGACACTTAATTAACACCTTTCAATAGCGTTTAGTTGACGTTCTTTCCTACTGTTTTTTTCGTACTCGATTTTCTTTTTGTACAAAGCACTTAGTTTCCCTACTACCGTAGTCATGTAGATATTTCATGTATAACGATATCTTTCATTTCTTCCAAACTTATCTCTGCTTAAATGAGTGCTATCTTTTCATCGTTATAGGAGGTACAATTAATCATTTGATTTATCTAATCGCGTTAGACTACTTTCATATGACTGGTATCTCTTCAGTTACATTTGTCCTAGGACAAAAACATCACCATAACGGGTGTTTTGACTTGTGTTATTTAGACTAAACTTCTGAAAGCAACTCCTTTTATGAAGTTTGGGTGCAAGCCTCTCGGTCTGTGCAACCTGACTAGTGACTCAATAATCTTGAGCACTACGTTGACAGAGAAACTGCTGTTCAGTATTATTATGATATGCAAAGATAACTACCAAATATCTTTCATTCTCACTCCACGTTTTTCGTAGTTTCAACATCTACAGAATCATTTCTCAAACAATTGGCTTCATGGGACAAGGAAGAAGTTCCAGAAAAGCTTCAAGAACGAGTGCATTTTTCCAAGCGTATTATTGCACGCCTCTTATCTGCCTATGAAAAGCAAGTTCTTTCGATAAGTTTGTGTCTTAATTTTCATGTATCGTATCTTATTTCTTAGTACAAGAGTAGCTTGTGCTTCATATTTTTTTGCCATTTACTAATCGTCTGTTATATTGGTTGGGAACATCTTATACTTGAGTGACATGTTCTAATCATATTTAGTTTTGTTCTTTTTACGTTATTTGATCATGTATTCCTTATGTAAATCATTCAATGTTCTGTTAGCAAAAGTGAAAATTATTATACCGTAGTGTATATATTTCATGAAATCAATCCTTTCAATTTAATTTCACTAACAAATTCTCTATACTTTCTTAATCTTCATAATTTGTTTTTCAGAATGGTTACTCACCAGTTTCGTTTGCGTCAACTGCTTGGGAACACTACTGAAACCGCATCAGTTTCTGTTGGCTCTGAAATTAGTGATAATATTTTACCTATTCATTCCAGTTCATCGGCTCCTTATGGCACACAAAACTCTAATTCTGAAGGTAACAATCAATCAACTAGTTCATCTCAGGAGCCTGCTTCAACAACGTGCAGCAGATCTGGTGCAGTAGATTTGCACGAGGAAATAACACTTTTAAACAAGGAAAATCTTCGTCTCCAAAGCCTTTGTACAAATTTGCATTCTAAACATCGACAAAGTAGTCTTCGCGTATGTACAAGTTTTTCAGTTTGTATTGCTGTATGTGGTTTTAGCCAACTTTTCCCTAATTCATTTCTTGACGGTTACTTCCTCTATAAAATAATCATAATTTCAGTTAGGTGCATGTTATGGATGGTACTTTTATATTTTGATGATAGACATGTTTTCAGTTGTCAAAAAATGATGAAGAGAACAATGATCCATAAACGACACTCGATGATATGGATTAAACTACTGATAAGTGTTCATGAGACCTAATCATTGACATAAGGCTTCTAATGAACTAGTATCAGTGGCTCATAATAGAAGCCAATGGCGATCCTACTGTAACTTTCTTTTACTTTTTGTCCCAGAAAAAACGAACGTAACTTCTTTAACTAAAAGAATTCTTTTTGGTTGTATTTTTGCTAACTGAATTGCTTCTCCCATTATTATTATTAATATTATTATTATTATTTTTATTATTATTTCACTATCATACACTAATTTCTGTTCGTTGTTGTTCTTTTTTCTTATACTCACTTTACATTCTCTATCTATTCACATTCTCATTGTTATTGTGTGACACATATGTGTTTGGTGCCCCTTTGTACCAATATTTATGTGTTCAAATAAATAAATAAATTTTTCTTATAGTGACACTTGTATACAAAATGGTGACACAAAAAGATGATTAGATGTCATATAAAGTGTAACAAGTTTTTTCAGGTCATTCTTACATGCCGTTGTAGTTGATAACTTAGTAAATTCTTTATTTTTTCCTTTATATCAATACACATCTTGATGTGTTATTCATGTTTAATAATTAAGAGACAAACTAATGGCCATTAAATTCCAAACGAATATCTTAATAATGCGTCATATTTGTTTTTAAAAAAGATCAAGAGGTCAAAAGTTGTAAACGTGGAATTTGGAATCGTAAATTTCCTCAAATTGTGGTGATTAATAGACAAAAATGTGCACTATGAATAGTATTTTTAGGTATAACTCAAGAAAATTTGACATCTTGTGAATGGAGTACGATCTATTCGTCAATTTAACCTCATTCCAAAACTAACATTTCAGAACTTCCTATTCCATATCATTGCAATGTTGTGGTTGAACATTCACCCAGAAATTATTCAATAACTGTATCAAAGCGTTTTTCATCCCATTTCTTGGATGTAAAATCAATGTTAGTGTTAGAAGTCACTAAGAATCTTTAATATATATGTCAATTTATAATGCATATTTTTAATCGTCAATTTGTAACGGTCGATTTTTAGCTTCGTGAACTACAAGACTTAGCTCAGACGAATAGTGACGCGTCAGCGGAATGGCAGGCTAAGTATGAGGATTTAGATTATAAACTTGCGGAAGCAATGAAACAAGTTACGCGTTTAGATCATCGTCTGTATGAAGCTCAGGAGAAGAATAAAAAAATGGAAGTTGAATTATCAGCTCTCAAATGCTCAGACTCTCCAGGTATATATTTGATTTGGTTTTCATATTTTTTTATTACTAATTATAGCTCCCCTCTGTTTATCCATGATTGTTATTCAAATTACTAAGTATTACGCGTGTACTCAGGTGTAAAGTTTTGCGTTCAAGTCTACTGACGATTATTCTTGTGTAGAGATTTGTCAAAGTTCTGTTTTTAGTGTTTCCAATAATAGTATCAAAAATGGGATTTAATAACATTAACATCAGTTGATACTTGTACTAAAATAAATAGTCAAGCTAAGGCATTCCTTTTCTTTGGCTAGATGTTCGACGTTTTCTCAATCGTAATCATATACGGTTTCTTATAATCTATCACATTTTTCGCAACATGGGACGTATCTAATTTATTATCAAGTGTGATAATTTATCCAAAATCATCATAGTAGTCGGTCAGAAATAATCAGTAGAAAAATTGCTTTAGTGAAAAAAACTAAACTTCTTGGTTAGCACGGGATTAGTTAAGTTAAAGACGTTATATATTGCCAAACTATAACTAGATCATGTTACAAAAGTTTGGTTCCTAATCTAATATATCGAGCCTTATGGTTCAAGCTCACAAAATTTAGGCGTTAGGATTTATGATGGAAAATATACAGATGTTTTCATTCTCTATCTTTCTCTGCATTCCAAGCTTTCTATTTTTCCGAACTTTTCATGCTGTCTTTTTAAACTTATTTAGTATGTTTAGTTCCCCACTGATGTTATTTCATATTTTTCGCTTCTCATCTTGTTGATTCCTCTCTCTATGCTTGAATCGATACATATTTATGAATGCACTTTACTTTTTTTATGAACAAGTAATTAGTTACAAAGGTCTTGACATTGAAAATTCCATTAAATTCGTGACCTTATCAGTCAGTCAGTCAGTCAGTCAGTCAGTCAGTCAGTCAGTCAGTCAGTCAGTCAGTCAGTCAGTCAGTCAGTCAGTCAGTCAGTCAGTCAGTCAGTCAGTCAGTCAGTCAGTCAGGAACAACGTAGAACTTCGTACGTACGTACATCAGTTCGAGTTGACACACCACATTAGCACAGAGATGCAGTGGTCGATTCAAATCCCGTAGTGCTAGATGTAGTAAAATTATAAACTGTAATCAGAAAAATTAGGGTTTGAAGATGTTATTCAAGGAGTATAATACAGTGAAATAAATTTGGAAAGAGAAAAAAGAAAGGGACATGAAGAATTCAGAAGATTAGAATTTGGGAGAACACAGAGTGGATGCACCTGCGCCATTGCAAACAATTTTGAGCTATGTCATTCAGGGTGTCTAACCATCGGTTGCTATCATCTCGCGGTCCCCAACCAGGTAGTCTACACCTACCAATATGACTCAGTCTACTTGTCAGTGACTTCATGGATTTGTGCCATGTTTTGGTCTGGCCGACCCTAGCTTTCTTCCAATCTACTCCTATACAACAAAACATCGCTCGTCGGAGCAGTCGGTTGTTATGCATACGTAACACATGTCCCAGCCATCTCAACTGATGAAGTTTCACTACGTCATCAATTGATTTGCCATCCTTACCTAGTACCTGTTTCTTAACAACTGCATTACTTACTCGATGGTCCCAGGATATACGAGCAATATTTCGAAGACACCTAAGACCAAATACTAGTAACCTACGGATATCCTCTACTCTTACCGGCCATGTTTCACTGCCATAAAGTAGGACGGAACGAACTGGTGCGCAGTAAACACGTCCTTTGGTTGATAGACGGATATCTCGCCTACGCCATAAATGACGCAAGTTGGCAAAAGCTAGTCGAGCCTTCTGTATCCGTGCTGAGATTTCGTCACACACCAGACCACAAGGGCTGATGAGACTTCCAAGATAAGTGAAGCGATCGACACACTCACTTACTTCACTCCCTCTCATTAGTTCGGGTGTCAATGCAACCCAATCCTGAAGCAACATTTTGCATTTCGAGGGAGAGAATCGCATCCCGAACATGCTTGCATTGTTGCTCAGAGTAGTCAGAAGACTCTGCATTTTGTCAGCGTCTTCACCAAATAAAACTATGTCATCTGCATATTCTAAGTCAGAAAGTGAACCTCCCGGTAAAAGTTCAACTCCTGTAAAGTCAGATGAGGGAAGTGTTATCTCTAAAAGTACGTTGACGACAAAGTTGAACGAGAATGGAGAGAATGGGCAGCCCTGACGAACACCACTTGAGGTAATGAATTCTGATGACAGTTCGCCATAGGCTCTCACTCTACCAGTTGTGTTCGAGTAGAGAGCCTTTACAAGGTTAATGTACTTCGTTATTTTATTATTTTATAGTTCAATAATATTTTCTTTTTCTTGTAGGTCGTGAAGATCCTTCAAATATTGATGGATCAATTACACGGAATAAATATAATGACTTGGCTTGTGAACTGGAAGAGTACCGTGAGTTGGCAAATAATCGTATAAATGAATTAGAGCGCCTTCAACGTCACTTGGAAGACAAAGTTGCAGAATGTGCTTCATTGAATATGCAAGTTAGTTTTGAATTTTTTTTAAAATTTCCTGATTTCTCTGTCATTTGGAATCTTACAGAATTTCGATGAACTCATTCAATTTTCTTCTATGCACTTCATATAATTATGTCATCGGAAATCTCCAGTGCTGTTTATACTCAGAAGTGCAATTATTTGCTTACATTCAAGTGTAGCATCTTAAGAGCCTGTTTTTCTCTTCAGAGTTTCTGTTAGATTGTCATTAACATCAGTATGATAAAGGTTATTTGAATCAAACTATTCCCTTTGTGCTCCTTTCAGGATGACTTGAGGGTGACCGGAAATCGAGACCATTAGACCAATATTTCATTGTAATTGTAGGTAGTCAATTCGTTTTAAGGATTCTCTTTTATTCATTTTTTTTTAACTGTGACAAACATGTTCGATTTCTAACTGTTATCTAATCATTTGGGTTAGTATGTACATCACAATCCATCATATAATTCACATTCCAAATTTTTACTTTCATTGTTTTTTTATTGATATATCTTTTGCTTTATTAGTTAAGAGATATTCCCGAGCATATTATTACAGAATCTCCTCAATATTTATCCTTAAAAACTCAATTCAATATTCTATATAATGAAGCTATCCAACTAAGAAGTCAGTTAGAGGAAGCTAGAAGTACTATTCAGAATAACAGACACAATCATCTGAAACAGATAGAAGAGATGGAGGTGCGTCCTAAAATTAATTTTTATTTTTTCCAGTTGTTTGTTGTAAATATAATTTTTGGGAAGCGGTTGCTTAGTGATCAGATCTTTCGATTTGCCACCATTTAGTCTCAGAGTCGGACCCCATTGCATCTGCTTCGGTTTAAGTGACTGGGTAGTATCTTAGCGCTTATACTTAAGGTGTAGCTCATATCTAATGAGTTAATTCACTACTTATATGTTTTATATAATCCTTCTGTTAATTATTTTTATATTCTGTGTCTGTCGTCTAAACACATTACAAAGCCTTAGTGTTTTCATCAGAATTATCTGTAAAATGAACATTAATAGCAACTCGGAAGGTTGGATGTTTTCATGAAAACAATTTCATCCACAAAAGGGATCTTGTTTTAATGTAGAAGCAGTTCTCTCCTTGTTGATTAGTTTATACGTGTTCTATCCTCTAGAGAAAGATACCAGTTCTCAAACCGAATAAAAATGCTCATCATAAAAGTACATTATTATTAAACTTACCCACATCGAGTTAGCATAGCATATGCAGTTCTTTGATAAGTTTATACATTTATATCCTATCCTTCAACCTTTTGGAAGACGTTTCCTGTTCTTAGAATTTTCTTTTAGTTTAGCATACATACATACCTTTAACAGCTTACGTAAGGATCATGATCTTGACCGCTTAAAACTACATACGTGCCCAATAATCATAAAGTAATTTCAAGATATTTTACAACTGATTCAACTATTGTTTTGCACATCTTAACGCTTAGAATTGAATAAGAACTTGTTATTATTGAAAATTGTTAACTTGACACAGTGTAAATCATAGTGAAATTTCTCATAAATTGTTTCTCAGAAAGTATTCTGAACTCTATTCATATCTACACATAAGTTTCACAGGGGATTCTTGATTAGATGGCATATATTCCATTATATGGATTATTAGGATTTGTCTAACAAACTAGACATATGATATTAGACCATTCTTTAACGTTATTTTCCCCATAAAATTTCTTTGTTCGTCATGTATTTAGCAGGGCACTTGTCACAGCTGATCACTTCCTCTAGAGGTGTCAGCTTTCTTTTCAACCGGGAATGAACACCGTCATTCACACCATTGAACTACGAGAGAACTTATTACTACTTTTTACCTAATATTCACATGATTCGATGTTCAGCCAACGTAATATAATAGCATTTCTGAAGAAAATACATATGATCTGAATGTCATAGGTTTCTTGACTTTGTACTGTGTTGTCGGATAAAGAAGTTTCTTTTAGAGAGTGGCGTACATAAAATTGTTTAAAGTTCTTACTTGTAGGTTTTTGATCCTTCATGTGGAATAAAATTATAATTCTGCATTTTTGTAACTATAAAATGAATTCTTTCAGGACGGATTGAAATCGCAAAAGATGACTTTGAAAGTATTCGCAGCTTAATTGTCTGAAAAACCACCCGGTTGAATTATTAGTTATTTGTGAATATTGTTGTTATTATATACTACAATTTCTCTGTGGCAGTAACTAATTTTGTATGAGTTGTCAGTTAAGAAAGATAGAAATAACCTGTTACTTGAAAAGTCACTACAATTACAGACCTGTAAAATATTCCAAATCGTTTCTCAAAGCAATGTTAATGATAGTCGGTTATTATCGCGTGGTCTCTCATTTTAAAACAAAATGCGCCTCATATTTTTGTAAATATTCAAGTGGTAAATGCAAATGGGTTTACAACTGCATGTTTGTTTACTGAACATTCATTTTATTCATTATATCCTAACTGATTTTTAGTCATTTCAGTAGGATATTTGTATGACTTCCATTCTGTTATTTTTAAAACTCAAGTTGTCCGACGTCATCCCATAGCTGGAACACATTATTCTGTAGATAAAATTCTATAGCATTTTGTTTTTTAAGAATTTCCTGTTTACTGTTTACTATTTGGTTCTTTTGTATTAGGCAAATGAAGCAGCTATACAGAATCAGATGCGATCTGAAATGCTTCTAATTGAAGGGCAATACTCTCAACTAAGACACAAATATGAAACTATGGAATTGGATTTCAAGCAAGCATTGACGCATAATGAACAAGCTGGTCCTATCAGTTGCGAAATGCGTAGTCTAATTTCCACACTCCAAACACAAAACAAACAACTAAAAGCTGAAGTGACTCGTTATCGTAGAAAATGTGAAGAAACTGTACAGGAACGTGAAATGGTCAGTTTTTTGATACTTATTTTGAACGTGTTTTTGAGTGGTTTACCCATCATTTTAACTGTGCTACAGAAGAAATATATTAACTCAATGATATTTACGTTCTTATTCATTAAAATATACTCAATAGATATTGATTTCAGTATATGACTGAATTATCATCCTTGAGTATAATCAATAAATAAAATGTTATAGTAAAATTAATACACCTAGGTATTTTATGTTCAATTTCGAAATTTACTTCTATACATATAGATACGTGCGGATTTGAAATGTACAGAGGATGAGTTAATTCGTGTCCGTACGGCGCTTTCTGAGGCAACTGCAGCTGTTATTACTGCATGTGAAAAGTCAGATCAGTCGACACCATCAACCCCCCAAAGCTCAAATCTACCTCAGACTTCAGTAACAATGCCAGATGTAAGTATTCGTTTCAATATGAATTTTTCTTTTATATAAACAAAGCAACAATGTTTGTTAATGAAAAGCGTTTAATAGTTTATGTAAACATTTTTCTGTAAGTTCGCATTTCATTTCTATTTAATCAGACGTTGCGTCATAGAGAACAAAATATCTCTGTTACTATTTTAATTATATACTTTACCTTTCTCAAATTTCCATGCTAACGTATCATGTAACATTAAGTCTATTAATGACTTTTTTCTTATTGAGGTTGGATCACCAACTGCTGATCCAGAATTGAAAGCAAAAAATTCAATTCCTATAAAAGTGGAGGAAAATGTTAAGTATAGTTCTCCAAGTTCATCTACTGCTCGATCTGGCACAATCACCACTTCAGCAAGCTCTCATGTCAATGGAAGTGGTCCCGAAAAAGTTTTGAAAACTGTAAGTTTAATTAATTAAAACTGATGTCTGAAAGATTAGTTTCAGGCATTTTTAAATCAGTATAGTATCTTTGTTATATCTCGCCAAATACGAAAATTGAATTTCTGACGTTTTGCGAACTGGCTCAAGTTTATCTGCAAATAGTGATCTATTTTTCCGGCTCAGCGCAAGTATAAATATTAGGAGGAGTAAATAAGACCAAATATTTCATGCATACAAATAAGTATATTCATTTTACTGCCATGTTATTTTAATGACTTTCCATGATCGACATTTTCTATGTTCCTGTGTCTATTTCGGCGTTAATAAATGTTATATTTCCAGTGTTATTGTGATGCAGTTTATGTTTTTATGGTGTGATCAACTTAGAGCCTACCCCAACTACACGTTAGGTTATGTTTATATACCATATCAGCACGTAGTACGAGTTTTACACAAAATGAGATGCTTCAGCTACACCTTTTTCTACTTATTTATCTAATTCTTTAAACGATTTGAATACTTATATAAATGGAGAAAATGTTCAGCTCAGGTAGATATTTTTGGTAGTGTTGCGTTATTTTGAACTAGCATGGAAATACTGCTTACAATCTGTATGATTGTTGAATATGGCATTAACTAACTGCTGCTTACCTGAATTTTAGATTTTCATATTTTATAACGTTATTTTTTATTTTTAGTTAGATTTAATTATCAGCGTTAATTATGATTTCACTAGAACACTGTTCAGTATAAATTGTATCTCGATGGATACAACTTAATCAGTAGACAACTATATTTGTTACTCTTTTATCTGCTCTCATATTAACATTTTTGTTTTCTCATTAGGATTAGCAGAGTTTATCAACATAGCCGATAGGGCTTACAGTATTTGGAAGTACAACTTTTGTTGCAATTTATTACTGAATGAAAGGTTTTGAAATAACATGTATAAACTCTCTGTTTACATCTTAGGAATCTACTCCCGACTTTCGTTGTAATGTCTCGTGTTCTTCGCCGTCCAATGAGATTATTCGTGATTTAAAAGAACAACTGAAGTAAGTATCCTGTAGTTTTTCTTAATTCTTCTATTGAGTACGAATTTACAATAATATTCTCATTCTAGGCGTTCACAAGAATCACAAAAAGAAATGTCTGTACTGCTCAACATGTATAAAGTTATCCCAAAAGATCAAAGAGATAAAGCAGCACTTCTTCAGTGCGAAGCCAAGCTGCGGGGTGAACTGGCTGATGCCAGAAATGAAATCGATAAACTTCATGCAACTATCAAAGATCTTCAATCACAACAAACGAAGATGCAGCAACAACGGAAGTCAACGTTAACATCTCCTATTGAGCCCAATTTAAAAATGTCACCTGCTGAACGTTCACTCACTTCCCATGGAAATATTTCACTATCTCCTTCGAAAACATGTAAGACTGGGTTGGTTTCTCCTGAAGAAAAAAGCTCGAGTATATCTGGATCTCTGCCGATCACGTCTTGTGGAAAATCTAAAATTTCTGCTTCTGATTGGCAAATATCAGAGTTGCAAATGGAACTGTATATAGTTCGACGTAAAAGTCAATCTGTTGAGGAGCAGTTAAAACTTCACCAACAACGACTTGTAGCTGCCAAGCAACAAGAGGATGTACTATTGAAGGAAATGGAAGTGAGTTTTACTTTTGTTTGTATTTTTTCACGCCTGCTTTATTTAGAAGCAGTCGGTTAACAGAAATATTCCAATATATTAATGCTTACCAATGTTATTAGGAAAAACTTGGCCTATTAATGACCTTGAATATATTTACAGTTTATTATGAACATTACTAATTAACTTTGCAAGTTATTACTAATCTTTTTGAGATAAATGATTTCCGTATGTTCTGTTCACGCTTTCGAGCTGACCATTTAAAAAAAATTACTGACATTTTTAACAAGAACTTGCTTAATTACATCAATATTATTTTTTCCTGCTATTTAAAGATTACTGTTCAAGCATTTGAAGATGCACAAGAACAAAACGTTCGTCTTGTTAAAACATTACGAGAAAAAGATGATGCTCACCTAAAGTTAATGGCAGAAAGAATGAAAACTGCTCAACTTGCTCGTTTACTGAAGGAAGACAAACAGCTTTTAGAAGAACAGATACGTCTGATGCAAGCAAAAATTGAAGCGTTAAACCGTGCAGTTCTAAAACAGGAAGAGAAAGTAAGCTGAAAATTTGTGTATAACTTTTCTTAGTGAAATAAATTTAGAATACTAATTGTAATGAGATTCTGTCTTTGCTAGTTTCATATAGACAACCCAAACTTTACCAATGATCTTGCATAGTAGTGATTTTTTATCACGAGATTTTGTCTTATTGTTTTTTACACCTGTGTCGAAGTATTCTTGATGGATCACGGAGGCACCCCAATTAGTGCAATTTGATAACTAACGACTTTACAACTTTATACGGGTCTGTTCTGCCTGTGATATATTTTAACATTTTCTCGTAAATAACGTGTCACGAAACCACTACCGCATTCGAATCCTGTTACAGGCGTTTAAAGTTGTACGTAGTGTTGAATATATATGGCTACCATACTATATCAGTCTGATATATCACCTCTATTACTGATCATAATTCCTTACAGAACTGTAAATAGTGTTTGTTCTTAGTCAATTTCCATCGCTGAACTCGCTTTATTTATGTATAGAAACAAACCGGTGTTTTTACGAAACGTCAATCCCATGACTCGATTTATGTTGTTGAAGTAGAAATAATTTTGAAAGACCTTTAGGCTTACTAAAACATGACTTCATTGATTCACGTTCTTCACTGGCGATTGTTTTTAGCGGTTCAAAAAAACATTTGATAATTTCCTTGAAACGTGGGAAACGGGTTTTCCAAGATCTAGTTTTTAAAACATTAATGCATGAACGAAGGACATTTTTTCCCAATAAATTCTCTTCAGATTCTAAAATTATGTATCCAAATTAATCGTCCAAAAGTGGTCAGGTTTAATGCAAAGTACATTATTTAAAGTACTTTGCCTTAAACCTGACCACTTTTGGACGATTAATTTGGATACATAATTTTAGAATCTGAAGAGAATTTATTGAAAAATGGTACTTTTCGTTCGTATATTAGCGTTTTGATGTGATGGGGTTTTTTAAACGATATAGTTTTTAACCGACTACTATTAAGTCAGTGACACATCCATGCTTTATCTTAGTTCGCTGCCTTGTTTTGCTTTCTTTACAGGAACGTTTATTGTTAACCAATTTAGCAACCTTAGAGAAAGAGGCATCAGCTAGACAAAAGTCACAGGAAGCCTATAAACGAAAAGCTCTGGAAAGTCAACAAGTCTCTGAAGACTTAAAAGTCACTGTTCAAAAGTATCAAAGTCAACTAAAAGATGCTCAAACTACTGTTCAGGAGAAAGCGTCCGCTTTTGAACGCGTTTCTTTCGGTCATCAGCGTTTACAAGTTAGTTTTTATGTATTGGAAATCATTTTAATCTTTATGACTGGTGTAATTAGTATGATAATCATTTTTGTACTTTTCCGTAGTTCAGAATGCGATCACGTGCACAATATTATTATCTCAGATTTCTGTTGTTGTATATATGATTAGATTTTTGTTGTTTCGTACTAAACTACAGAGCAAAATCTGTTTGTGTACTATATGTATGTAATGACTTGTCAGAGTTCTGATGCTGTTGGTGGTATGGTTATTTGTAATGGCTGATTGCTTGTTCAGCGGAAAAAGGCCGATATTAATAAATGGAATGAAAAGTTCAAGATTTATTTATACACGAAACACTAATCCACTACTGATCATAATTTGCAATAAAAAATGTCTAATCAATAGATAAACGTGTTTGTATTATACTGTCAATAGTTAACATGAATTAATCAGTAATTTAATGCGAGTACACAATTTGCAAAATCAATAAATTAACTACTTTGATCAACAAATATAGCCAAATTACTATATTATGTATTTTACTGTTTCCTAATACTCACCTTTTTGATTGAATGCGTTTGAGTAAGGCTTTCCGTAGGGTTGGGGCGGTCAGCTTATGTTAATATAATACTGAGCATGTAGATCGCTTCACTCATCATTCTGATAAAATCTCGGCGCGGATTCAGAAAACTCGATTAGCTTTTGTCAGCTTGCAACACTTGTGGCATAGGCAAGATCCGTCTACCAGCAACTACCTGATCGGGGTCCTTGTGATTAATGTAACCAGTAGTTAAAGACTTTGGATGATATGGCTCGAAGTCGTTTGCAGTGGCACAGGCTCATGAACCCGTTGTTTTCTGTGCATTCTGCTTGTGCGTCAGCTTTCTCTGCTCATATTCTACTGTTGTTTATTAATATTAATTGTTGCTTTGATTGCCAGAAGACTTCGGTTTTCACCATAAGGCGTCATAATTCTTTTGAATGAAGATCCTTCAACTCCCATGAAAGAGTTTAAATGTATTGGATTGTTTTTTCTGCTTAGACTTTCTTTAACAAGCTTGTTTTCCTACGGGATGGGCTTGGTGATCCCACGCCCAACTCTTCTCTTTTATCCGGGTCTGGGACCGACCCTAACCTTAGATAAGCTACAGGCTATGTTATTTATTTTTTTACTTATCGGACTAAAATCCCTAATCTACTTAAAAATCTTGTTACTTGTTGCTTTAGTGTATTAGAAGCTCAGGTCTATAATTTGGTTTCGGTCTTTTATGAATTAAGACTTATGAATGAACTAGGCTTGTAATTATTGAAATGAATTGAATGTCGCTCAATAAATGAAATACACAGACACAACGTGATCTAGTGATGGTCGCTCACGAAACTGCTTTATTCACGTAAGCCCCAAAATGTTTATTTATCAAACGAAATTAAAAATCCCTCCTCAATAACAAAGATATTGGTTCCGTTTGATTGTCTTTATTTAAGATGAACTTGTAATTTCTATTTTTTTGATACTTTATGTGGAGATGATTGTACAGTATGAATTACCACTATTCATAATACTGACATTGATGCTATTATACACATGGTTGATTAATGAGAACAATGCGTGTATTATTTTTTCAGGAAGAACTTGTCACTGTGCGCAGAAAATACGAACGGTTACGCAAGATCGAACAGTCTCATAACGCTGATGAATTTTTATTGGCTGAAATTCAGGATTATAAAGTATGTTGTTTATATTAACCATTTATCTTTTGATTAGTCGTTTCTGTTCATAATCTAAATGCAATTTGTAATAAAACTTAAAAGCATGAGCTGTAAATATTGTTTTTTTTTTAAATGCGAAATTCACCACTTGGTTTGATATTGTACATATTCCAGATGTTAGGCGAACTTATGTACCTTGTGACTTGTCACGATCTTCATGTTAGTTAATATTTCACAGCATTTGTAGTGATAATACTTTCCATCTTTGATTTAGTTCAGCTTTACTTTCATTCTTGTATTGTAACCCACTCTTTTTTGTAAATTTTAGGAGCAACTTACATGTCCAACGTGTAAAATCAACAGAAAGGATGCTATTCTAACTAAATGTTTCCATGTGTTCTGTTTGAATTGTCTAAAAGTTCGGTATGAAACACGAAATCGTAAATGTCCAAAGTGCAATGCAACATTTGGTGCCAACGATTATCATCGTATATACCTTACCTAATCTATTTAAACCAACAGGCTTATCTTTTCGTGTTTTTTTAGAAATCTCTTCTATTTGTTTTTGTATTCTCCAGTAATGTATATAGTATTGACTGTAAGAATCCTTCACTATATTCTGTAAATACTTCCCACTTTAAATAATATATAGTTTATATTTTTATGACTTTTCTTATCTTTCAGTTGAATTTTGTGTGCGTAGGAAATCGGTTTAATAAAAGATCGTTTTCCACATCCGATAAGCTCAACAGCCAATCCGATTAGGTCTAGTAGTTTCACCTTTAACTCCACATTATTCTGAACTGCTCAGATTTGATTACTGTAATACAAGTTATATTATATTTATCGGTTAACTATCCCGAAAACGCGCACAGGTTTCGAAAAGATGGTTTTTGTGATCCACACAAGCAAAGTAGGTATCTACCCTATCAGTAAACAATAAGCGTTAGGTAATGTACTATGAAAACTATTCAGCCCGATGCGTCGCCACTTACCGTCATATTAAGTAGAGTTGGACGGTTTTATGGCAACTATGGTTTAATGCTAGGTAAACTTAGAATTTATTTGTTCTAATCGTTACTGCGGCCAAGGAGATTCTAACAATATCAAAGCAAATCTAAAATCGACCAGGTAGATCGTATAACTAGTGCTCAACTTTATTTCAACGATTACTTGATCACACGAAAGTAAAATGTGAAAACCTGTCTCAAAGAAAACCAATAAAATGAGTAGACATATTTATACATATAATGTGAAACGGTAGCTCAGTAGTTACACTCTGAGTATACTTTACTGGGTCGCATACCTTACAATGATACATAGAAGTTAGTAAATGTTATTAACACTCAGAATGCACTTCATTAACGGTGGCTGTAAATGACACTACTGTGTTACATTTTATCATAAGATATGAAGTGTTATGTAAAATATAAAACTGTACTCAAATAGATAGACTTTGGTTTGTCTGAAAAACCAAGACGGGGTCAACAATATTTCATAAGGTATGTGGAAAAAATTACACATTTTAACAGTTTGGTCGTGATATATTCAGTGAATTTTTTATCCATTGATTTTGTCACATTAAAAAGATACACGAAACAATTCAATGCATGTAATTTTACATTTACTATATATAGAATGATATCTCATATAATCATTTCATTTGGTTTTTTCGAAAGATCAATATACTTAGTGAAATGCCTTCATATGGAAAGCACGAATTTATAAAATCATTTGACATTATTCATCTCACTGAGATCAAACTGGGTATAAAAAATTTAATTGTTATTGAATTAAACCTCGCATGATTCATAAAACAAGAGCTCATAGAGATCTACTTTCAGTTAACCATATCATCCTGTCTCAAGTAACTAGTAAGATGATTAATAATACTTATTCTAAAGATGATCGACACTTTCTGTTAGTTTATAGGTAAGTTACACCTTATTTTTCATTGACGATTCGCTATACATATATGTGACTAATTCCATATTTGGTCTACTGATAATTCGTTTTGATAGTTTTTAATGTAATACTCAATGCCAAACCAAAACGTGGCATCAGTGCTTGAAGCTACTAGCTTCTAGTCTGAGCCATGTTGGTAGATGCAGACCACTTGGTTGGGGTCCGCGTGACTATCACAATCAATGGTTGGAGACGCTGGGTGACATGGCTCAGAATCGATCACAATGGTGTAGGTGTATACACTCTTTTTCTTCCTTTAAACTATGAGATTAAAATCGTTTTATATCTTTCTTTCTACGTACTAATTCTTTCTTCCTGTACTATATCCTTATATGCAATCTTTTATGTATTACCACCACTGAATTAACTACTATGAATTTGGTGTTCATCTTGTAGTGTTAATGAGGTATGGCAACTTGGACCGATGCATATATGTGTCTGGTCCTACGTTGTAGCTGACTGACTGACTCAATGTTTTGTGAATGATTCAAATCTCTGAGGTATCCATAAAACAAACATACGGAACGAAGTTTTTCATAATTTTGGTAACTGTTGTCCTATCGTTCGCAAATTGAAACTGGTTAGAGCATAAGACGGCAAAACACGAAACTGGGATATCATTTGGATATGGCATGGGTATAGATATTTATAGAAGGTCTTTAAGGTATGCATGGAGTTATGGATTCAAAAAGTCGAGTCCATATCTGTTTGTAACAATTTGTTACAAGTCAGCTTGAAAAATAATGGAATGAAAATTTTTAATTCGGCTTTTCATATTTGTTTTCATTTCTTGATTTTTTTATGCACTCCACAGTCGTTACCCTAAATGATGGTAAGCAGTGTTTTATGCAACTAAAAAAGCAATAGAAGTTGAATTTACAATGTTTTTTGGGATCCATTTTGAAGATTCCACCTTGGATCTAACCCAGGATCTTTGCTCTCACTACGACCCCCACACGTTTTTTGTTTGATTTCGGAATTTCGCCTTTTAAGAGTTAGGTTTTCCTGTTTTTATAAGACTTGTCAATATGTTATCGTAATTGATATATTTAAAAAGTTCATTTTGCAATCATTAAGTAGTTATTCACTCTTGCCTTTTCTATTATTCGTTTAGTCATCTTTCTAAAAGACCGGCCTCATATAATTAATTTTGATTAATTCAAAGTTTGTTTGCTATCCTATCCGGTGTATGTGTTTGTTCTTTCAACGGCGATAATATTTTAAGACACGTGTTTTAATACGAAGTCCAACAAATCTTTTCTCATAATGTTATGTAAATTTATGAGACAAATCCCAGTTAATATCTAAACTTTCATCAGTTATATGAAATATGCTACTATTTTTGGTTGTGTGGGCGTTGTTCATCTGTTCTTTACATCATTGCTCACAATACCTAGTCAAAGTACAGGTTTGGATTGCAAAGACGTTTTCCGGTGTGTGTTTTAATGCATAAATCTAATGTAAACAGATCTTTTGTCTGATACCTTAAATTTTGTCGTTTTACCCTCCGACCATTTTCTTCATGCATTTGATGAGTAATTATGACTTAATAATTAGCATGATGTTTTAAAGTGCATATTTGTATAAAACTTTGTAATAGACCTATTTTTAATGAAAAAAAGCTAAGTTCTCATCTATTGTACTCTTTGGTCGGTTCAGAAGACAAGGAATTTAGACTTTTTTGCTGAAGGTGTTGCTTCAAAGAGAATACATTCATGGTAATCTGATAACAATTGAGTTAATTCTCGGCTAATGTGACAATAAACTGAAAGGAAACTAATCAACAATTAAGAAAGAACTACACAAACAAGTGGACGCTGATTCTAATGGAACTATATTTCAGAATATGCCCCCAAATGCCCTGGTACGGCCGAGAGTGGGGAGAGTCCGCTCTTCCTTTCGAAATGCTCCCACACGGCTACGCGTATATAGCCTCTGCCAGGGAAGTCCTACTCATTGCCTTCTCGTAGCGGGGGTGTTGTTTACGAAGTTGAGAGGACGAAAAGCCAATGTCCGGTGCTTTGACCGGGTTGGTGGACATAGAGAGTCTACCTAGGGGAGTTGGAAAACCCTGATTCCAAACCAATGGTGCACATGGGCTCCAGTATCCTGAAGGAACAAATGGCGTATGAACCAATTATTGGTCACCGGCTACCATGGGACTGCATCTCCTTACGATGCTCTACTGCCTTGTGGATCAGACCTTTAGGTCGAAGGCTCGGCGTGTGGCTCCCTAAGAAAACCACCTGCTTCGTTTTGGGCACTCGAGCAGTACCACAGCCCTCACACAAATCTCATTTGATTTGTGTGGCACATATGTAACTGGTGCCCCTTTGTACCAGTGTTTATGTGTTCAATTAAATAAATAATAAATATGCGAAGTTATTTTTATTAATACTTCTGTAGATGAAATATAATGGTAGTTTCTTTGTGAAAAGCATATTCAGTCGATTAGTGTTAAAGCAGAATTCGCAGCATAAAATGAATCCACTTTGCTGTACTAATTAATTTTCCAAATTCGAGTACATAAACTTGTATTTGGTAAATGAAGTACAAGGAAATGTTGGGACTACGTATAAGCGTATAATTAATCATAAATGAAAACAATGCATGATCTTGGTTATTATAACAATAAAGTAATAGACTAAGGAAATAAATGGCAAATTTTAGTTCTTAAAATTTAAAGGAAACATTTATTCTTATATCAATTGATCCATTTTTTTTATTATTTTAAACTCCATAATACTACACGTGAAAAACATTAAATAGTCACTTCATCTTGCAGTTCATTCTGTACTTACAATTTATGATTATTTGACCTGATCACTGATAACCAAAATTAATCAAAAATCTAGTCACTCAGATGTGATATCCGAGTTTTAATGTTTTAAAAAAGATAAATTAACACAAATCAGTAATTTCAGAGTGATCGTAAATCTGGTTATATTTATGGGTAATTCAAGTTGTAATATGACAATCAAGTGAACTATTTTTTTTCCTAACCAGCATTAGGGGATCGTCTTCGCTCACATAAAGCTAAAGTTGTAGTTTCTTAAAACATAAGTGGAAACTTCATGAAATTTAATAATTCTACAACTTTTACTACTATTAAATACAATATTTTAATAAATAAATGGTTTTTCGTCAGTATTGATATAGTCAGTAACTATTATTATGAATAGATAGGTTAATTACAGTGAAATTTATTGGTTGTCTAGTGAACAGCTTCGAAGTTAATTCCCTAAACTCTTGTAAGTAGTCATGACTAATGAAGTTCATCAAAAGATAGATAGGGAAATTATCATTGGGAAAGGATGGCTCAGCATGATAAAATAAAATGTTGTAACAGAGATGAAATGTAATCGGAATGGTCGTGGAAATAACAAACCAGTTGGGGGTAGAAGATTTAAAGGGAAGATGGAAGGTGAAGCAGATGGCTGTAAAGGAACAAGAGTATGAAAAAGATAGAAAAATTTTAATGTATTAAGACCATGGTAGAAGAAGAGGTTGTACCAGTTTCTTTTGCACACAAAATTCTGGTTTTTCCAAATGTATGGCTATTGCTTCGGCAATGCAACGAAGATGCAGTGTCTATATTTTGCTGTTCATTGACCTATTTCCGATTATGTAACATGGATTTAAGCCTTTATTATTCTTATCAAAACTAGTACACCTGTCATCACACTGCCAATTTGTACT